ACTTTAACACACCGTGCTGTCCACAGGGACATCCTGCACAAACCCAGCATTCCTTTAAGTAGCAAGCTACTGGCAACAGTGAGCGCAAGGTGGGTGACCTTCAGAGAACCTGATGTAAAACTACATGGTTTCCAGCTAACAGCTGATCATCCCGCCTTCACTTTCATCCGTGGGAAATGAAACTCTGAGGCGGGCTGAGTCAAGTTGAGTAGATCCAAACCATGTGATGGAAGGAGCTTTATATCACACTAAACATTGACTTGTTCGACCAGTAGTGTCCTCCTCATATATTCCACTGTATTTTTGTGAAAATCTTATTCTCAGTGAAGAGCAACTTACCTTTTTGCTCGCCATTAGACAAGGCGACTGTTCCGATGTCGTGGATCAGCGTGATGTGGAACACAGCTTTCATGGCTGGCTCGTCAAAACAGGGGAAAGCCTTCCTGGCGTCTGTGGGCTGCATCTGAGTTGTGGCAACAACCCTGCCGACAAATGATTAGGTTAGTTATTAGCAATAGTATTAAGTTGAACCTAACATTTTAATTTAAACTTAATATTATTTCTTTCAACTAACCTAATACAGTATGTGAAATCTGTTGACATAATACATTTAATTAAAGTCAACGGTTCAGTTTTTTTACGTGTGTGTAAGGCAAACAAATGTATTGCATGAAAACGTTTTAGTAACATTGAAGGTTTGTCATTGCAGGCTTGTTTTAATGTTCCAAACTTTAGCTAGGTATTGTCTCAAAGCACGTCATCTGACACTCCATAGACGTACTTTTTCACTCCGTCCTCGTAGTACTCGCTCCTGTAGAAGCCCCCCAGGTCGTCAGCCAGCTCTCCGGTAAATTTAGTGTAGAGTTGGTACATGTGGTCCTTAACCAGTTTACCATCGAGCTGAAGGACCAGGTACTGAGTCTCACTCTGGAGGAAGGAAGACTTGATGGAGGGGGCTTTGACCCCGCTGTCGACTGAGGTGAGGCTCGCTGAGTCGGTGTAGTTCAGCTTATTGGAGTGGATAAGAATCAGGTCTGTGTCCTCAACGCATTTGAACTCCACTGTGGTCTCACCTGAAACAACATGAAGTAATTTAAAGGTCCCATATTATGCCATTTTTAGGCATATATTATGGGTCTCAGATATATAACAATATATAAAAAACATGTCCATGATGTGTTTTGCTCAAAAATACCAAACAGATCATGCATTTTAGACATCCCTCATATCGCTCTGTTTCAGCCCTGTTAGAGAACTGCAGGTTCGGGGTCCTTAGCTTGAAGAAAGAAAAAAAAGAGGAGGGGGATCTAATGCCTGCTCAGAATTCTACGAGATACAGCTAAATGCTGCCGTGATTAAATGCCATCATGTTCCAAACCACATCAGGGATTATTTCTGAAACAGTATGGAGCTCAAACTCTTTTTCTCTTGCGGGTTTACCACAAGGTGAGTTCCTTTTTATTTCCTGCTTTTTTACACACACTCTCTCCAGTACAGGTTAGCTCTGAGTGTTAGCGATGCTTGCACAGACACAGACCATATTACGTCCAAAACACGTCGTGCATTGTTTCCGATACACTGACGTTTCTGATAGGGCCGTGAACGTAAAGCCAGCCCACATTTCCGATATTACGTCATATCGGACGCAGATCTGGATCAGCTCCGTTGTTCTCCCGTTTTTAGAGATGTGGGTACGGAGGAAAAGAGAGAGGGTTTTGTTTTCTGACACTTTGTGAAAAAAAAAAGCCCAATAACTTATTGACGTAACCAGCTTGAAATATACCCTTCATATCTCCCCTTATTATAATCACTCCGAGGCTTCTGTTTTAAGGGACGAGCTGCAACACTTTTTGCGAGAAAATAAATGAAACTGTTAATGGAGAGCTGTGATGTAGGTTATTTTTTTTCTTAATGCATTTTCAATTATCAAAAATAATTAACCTACATTTGAATAATTTCGTTTTTGAATTTTTTTCTGTTTGTGGCCCTGAGTGAAACATTTTTGGACACCCCTATTTAAAATGATTGATTATTTAAATATGTTTTAATTTTCTAAAATGATCCCCCAATATAAATGTTTTGTTATCTTAAAGACCTTAAAGCGTAGAATTATCAAACAATTTACAGACCAAATTCTTAAATAGTAAAAGGCATTGTGTGTCATGTGCTGCAGAGAGCCTCACCAGTGAAGATGTAGAGTCCAGTGGGGTCAGGCCGCAGCCGTGGCCACAGGGTGACGTTGTACTGCTGCGGCAACAGGCTCTTGGGCAGCCGATACTTGTCCCAAGGCTCATTGGACGGGGCAGCAGTCGTGGCAGGGGGTTTAGTTGTTGTTCCTCCATCCGTTGGCAAGACCTGATTATCATTCTTTGCCTTTTCTTGTGAGTAGACAACAGACAGAGCTATGATGGTGGCCACTGCTCCTGTCCCGAGGATCATACACCCTACCCCAAGAGGTTTACTTAGAAAGAAACCTTTCCCCATGTTGTGTGCCTGTGTTGGAGCCCCACAGTCAGATAGTGCATGGAGGCTGGAAGGTCCACGTCTTTATGTGGCCAAGCATCTCCCCTCCCATTCGTCCATCAGGTGATACATTAACAGTGCCATTGTAAATGCCGACCTCACCTGGTGAAGCGCTGGCTCCGTCAGGAGTCTTCACACTGAAAACTACAATTTTTTTGCAATAATTACTATAATAACTTTTTGAACATGAAATAAAACCAAGGTTTGGAAAAGTTCATCAGAGGAAGTTCTAGTTTTCTAAAAATATTCAGTTTTGAGGAAGCTCTGCCATTGCATCCAAAAAGCACACTGAGATGTTCAGCGTTTATCAGACTTAGACGCTTGAAAGAAAACTGTCGCTTTTATTAAATGATGTATCAGTTATTTTTATTTTAAGATAAAAAAAATATCCATTAAAACATTTTTTTAAACAGTTCAGTATCCACCTTTTAAAAACCTTTTCCTAACTTAATTTAAATGCTTTTGAGGCAAATGATCATAATAATATTGTCGTTCCCTTTATTTTCTGTAATTTTCAAGTAATATATCCCGTGTTCCAGTTAGACTTTAGAGGCAGTTTTCCATAATCCTACCATTTTATGAATGCCATTTCATGGTCATAAAGCTGTAAACTCAGTCCTTATGAACAGTTGTGAAAGATGACATCCATGTGCAGCCCTTAGCCTTTCCAGTTACTGCAGATCTCTATCTCTGAGCGCTTACACAGCGTAGGGCCTGAAAATAACTGCCTTCAAATGTCAAAATCTGACTTGATAAAGAGTTGCTATATCAAGTTCAAAGTTTAAGATGACACTCTTACAGTTTAAAGTTATGATGATGATTTGCCCTGACTTCATCAGATATCCGTTTATGTCTCTTTACACCCATCATATGGCTGTTGGGTTTACTCAACAACCACCACAGTTCTCCTGAAAAGAAGACACACTCTCCCCATGTGCCTGTTGTATAGTATGCATTCAATCAAAACGTGTTTCATTATTCAGTACATTCATACAGAAAAAGATGAATAAATATGAATGGATGAAGTTACTTTCTGAAATGAGAAAGGGTCAATAGTAACAACAAAGTCCCAGAGAAGGATCTGCTCTGCCCGTCAGCTCGATTAAGGTTTGTCGTCTCTTTCAGCTCAACGTGTTGGTTCTCCTGCCAAACAGCAAGTACACAGCATAAAAAACAAGCGGGGGAACTTGGTGGAGCAAAGGTGGCTAAAGAGACAACTATTCCTCAGGAGTTAATGGAGAATTGTGCAAGGTGGTGAGATAAACAACACTCAATCATTGCCATGCTCTGTGTCTGCTATAAAGAGAAAACTGTTTGACAAACATGTCCACCTTATGAGCTATGAACGGTCATTGATGTGAGTGAGACCTGTTCCACTTCCACCAATTGGCTAAATAATTAGTTGAAAAAAGATTGTATGCAGACTAAAATTTGGCATAAGAGTAAAACATTGTGGAGATGAAAAAAATGGAACTTCATATTACTTTGCTTAATTAGATGAACCCCCGTTAGTTCGCAGGTAACAGTAAGACCTTCAGACTATTCTTAACTAGATATTCACATATCCAAACCTACACTGCATATATGTAAACACCTTTTTTACATATTACTTTTTTTTACACTTTTTCACTTCACTATTATTTTAATTATTATTACCTTGGTGTGAATTAATGTCTGTCCTATCCTGTGTTTCACCCTTGTCGCTGTAAAGCACCTGCATTTCTCTACAGGGAGCCATTCAGCATTACTATTAAAGTATTTATTAATTATTGTTGTAAACCAGTGCTCAACTTCTTTTACTTTTTTACAGTACATTTACAGTGATATAAGCATGATAATATAGTCTTTGTGTCCCGGTATAGAAAATAAAGGCAGCCTCGCACACACTTTCTTTCTGTATCGAGACACCTTTTTGTGCATTATTGCTAACTGATATTAACAGCTTAAATATAATAGTAATGGTGGAGTATGGTTTACACCACTTATCACACTTCTTTAACTATTACAATCTCTTATAAACAGTTTTATTTAGTTTGTTAATTCCAAAGTGTTTCCAAAAAGTCATGTTTGACTCCCTGTAGTAGTTTGACCTCTTCATGTTCCTTATATGGAGTAACAGATTGTCTACTTCCTTTACCTTGACAGCGTTGTAAAAGCCCCAGATATTATATGGCTTTTCTTGTAGCGACAGTGAACACGCTGGGGTCGACACAAGTTCATTGTTCTTTTCAGGAGCAGTAAAATACATGTACTGACATGCGCAGCATTTTGTACGATTTTGAAGAAATGTGGAAATGTGCTATAAAGCTAAGAATGTAGTGATAGAGATAAGGTCATTGTTTTAACAACCCACTCTCTTCAGTCTGCGTACAAATGACACGACTTTACACATTGGAAAATGTCCATAAAACATGTTATTACTCAATATCAAGCCACGATTATTGATTTTATTTTAAATTGTATAATGTCGGACTTTTTTTGCCGTCCGTGAGGAAAAGAAATGGGGCTCAGAGCCTCAGAATACTGAAATCTGTATTTTTTTAAATCTTTTTTTCCTTCGAATTTGTTATCCTTTTCTAAATAACACACTGTTATTTACTCAACAATAACACACAATTATCCTTGTTTTTATTTATTCGTTTAATTCTATAATATTGGGCTTTTTAGCCGTCCGTCAGGAACTGATTTTCAAAATAAAGTCACCGGAAACAGACGTAGGCACGGTTCAAGCTCGATGATTGGATGTTGTAGCCGCAATGCACGCTGGGATATGGTGTTTCCCCAACCCAGTCTCACAAAAAAACGTGTAATAACTACGTTGGTCCACAACGTAGGACGTAGTATTTCTACAAAAACGCCTCTGAAATGGTAAGATCCTGTTACGAACTCAGACACTTAGGATGTAGGACCCAATTGCACGACCCGGGAGACAGAGGTAAAGTATTTGTAAGATACTATATTTTTCAAATACAGCATTGAACAACAAAAAAGGTAACTATCAAATCTATAACCGAGATGACAAAAATAGAAAACGCTCACGTAGTGAGGAATCAAACTTTTTCAAGAGCACAAGGAGCATAGACCTGACCATAGCAAGAGACAATACGAACTGACGAGGAACACTGGGGAATAGGGGAATTTAAGCACATGATAATAAGACGCAGGTGGGAACAATCAGGGGCGGGGCTGACGCTGATGAGCACAGGAGACAAACAAGGGGTGGACAATCAGAAGCCTGGAATGAGAGGTAAATGGTGAGTGACAAAACAAACATAAAAATGAACCTCTCTAGCATTTCTGTCGGTGGACAACAGATCCCTACGTTTTTTTTCACCATTCATTCCAATGGCTGGCGTCTATGTCACGTGATCTTCAAATTTCTCCCTGCAGAAAAAAAAAAACATGGCCGAACTTCGTTTTATTCTCGGTGGAAAATGCCTATTTTAAAGTTAGTTTGGCCATTAAAATGCGTTTTGATGTCATTTGATGCGAGAAATATGAGTTGTTATTTCAGATTATGTGTGCAGTGGATGTACATGATCTTTAGTTTGCTAGTTATTACAAAGATTACTTCAGGAAGTTTTCATTGTTACCAAGGTGGTTGCTAGGGACGCTGCTATCGATATTATTTCTGTTATGTTGTGTAACTGTTTAATGGTGTTATCTTTATTGCTACCCCCTTCCCCGTCAATGTATAGTGTTGGTCCACAGCGCAAACATATTAGTTTAACAAAATCCGCATCTAAAGATACGTTATTTTCCCCTGTGCAATTCCAGTCTCACATCTCACAGCACATCGTCATTAACAAATACCGAAAACAGACCGAAAACATTTTTTTTAAATAAAATAATACTTTATTCCGAGTGTGCTTGCTTTTCTCTTTGAAAGTCATCACATAACGGCATTGTAATACACGGTTCGGCTGCTTTAAATATGACATATCTGCCGTAGTTCTGTATTTATATAGCCCTGATGAGAAGACTTCTAGACAAACATGAGGAACTGAAAACGTGACGTGGATCATAAATATATCAGCCATTAAACAACATCTTACATTTCTTTTTGCACAATACGTCTCCTTGCAGTATCAACACTAATTCGGCTGACTTTTATATTTGATCCAATTGGTAGATAGGCTGTATTTACACCATAAAGGTGCACAGCTGATATAAAGGGACACCTAGTGGTTAAAGCATGTTATTGAATTTCATTATTTTTATTATTAGATATTAATAGGATCCCTATAAAGTATATTCATTACTCGTTATTCTATACTAATAGTTAATTAAAGACTGTATATAATGACTATTTTGCACATCCCTTTCAAGATTTCAAGATTTGCTAAGGTTTATTGACATATCATATAGGCCTACACAACTATGGTGTAGTTCTGCATTGAATGAAAAACTTGGGTCGCAGGTTCCTCAATAGTGCATTACAAGACATCTATCAATATTTGTGCGTACCTCCAGCAATGTTAACTATGTTGAAGCACTTATTTTAACTGATATTATACATAATGTATTATACTCTTATAAGATGTATGTAGATATTTCATCTCCGGCCTTGTCAGGTATTGAACAATCAATAAATAAAGAACACAGAATTATTCAATATAAAACACAGAATTTGTGTGATTATACTAAATTATTTACAAATAAACACCACTGCATATTTACAACTGTTACACATGCTGATGTAACGCAAATGTTTCCAACTTGGGATCAATAAAGTATATCTTATCTTAAGATAAGGCAAAATGTGCCTCTGAACCTTGACAAGTGCATGTTTCAGGCTTATCAATTAACAACAGGAGGGGTCACAGACATAAGATCAGCTGTTAAATAAAGCTCTTCTGACCTTAGCTGGCATGTGGGTATATATTAATGCTGCCCATCATGGGCACAAGCAATTTTTATGAAGGTAGATACAAAATGCGAGAGCGTGTAAAACCTGATGTGAGCACTTGCAGAAA